AAAGAGCAGTCATTACCACAGCGAGCCTCACAGAAACGGAGTATAAGAGTCAGCCTTAACATAGCAGTTGGTTCATTTGTCAGAAGAACCTGTTTACAGAAAGCACAGTTCAGCACTACATCGTTAAAGCTGGATGCCTTCAAAGGGCACTCGCCTAATAGCTTTATTTATAGTTAACAGTTTTATATAGAACATGCATATTGTTTATACTCTTGCCACAGTGTCTCAGAACTTTGAAAGTGTTATTTTTCATGAGATTGTACTGAATTTTTAAAAAATACTAATGTTTAAAAACATGCAAATAGAACTACCCTATGACCCAGTAATCTTACTCCTGGGTATTTACCCAAAGGATTGGAAAACACTCAGTTGGAAAGATACTTGCACATCCATGTTTATTGCATGTTGTTTACAATGCTAAGGCATGGAATCAATCTAAGGGTCCAAGAACTGATGACTGGGTTGAAAAACTGTAGCACGTGTATATTGGGTTGTCGGAAGGTCATGGCACATTTTTGTGTAGAAAAACACCAAAGATGGAAAAAGATAACTTTTCTGACAACCCAATACTATGGACTGCTACTCAGCCCATAAGAAACAATGAGACCCTATCGTTTGATTTAAAGTGGATGAATATAGATAGAGGACTTAATGTTGAGCCAGATGAGCCAGACTTTGAAAGATACACATTGTATATCCCCACTCAGTATGTACTGAATGTCTGCGCTCTATGGCCAAAACCGAAAGATCTGAAGATACGATAGTAAAAAGGATAAGTGTGAATACCAGAGACTGTAAGGCAGGGGAGTGGGTGGTAGAGGGTGGATGAGAAGAAACACTGAACAAACAGAAGAATATAAACTTCTCTGTGGAAAAAATGTTCTGTAATTTTTGCTTTATAAAAAAAAAATTGAAAGAACGTAAAAAAAAAATAACGTGTTCTGTAATTTTTGCTTTATAAAAAAAAAAATTAAAGAACGTAAAAAAAAATCACAAATGCGTAAGTTCTGTAGAAAAATTTGAAAACATGTATGAATTTGATTTGCATTTGGGTTGCTGTTTTATTAACAAATGGTGGGCGTTTCCTTTCAGGAGAGCACAGACGTAGATGATGAGGATGATGAAGATGACAAGGTGAGTACCCCCAAGAAAGAGCATAACAAGGATCATTAATGTTGTCAACACACAGTGCTCCTCAAGGTGGAATCTCTGTCTCTTTTAAGTATTATAGGAGGACAATTACGGTACTGATACTGTTTTCTTTTTTGGAAAAAGACAGCCTTTTATAAAATTTTTGCGTTAGTTTGAAAGGGGTAAAATATAAGGCATCAGTGAAATGTTACTACATACCTAGAGGAGGCCTTTCGTTGGACACAGGCCAAGATGAGCTTTCCCCTTGGTAGAGAAAAGGTAGCCGAGGAAGTCAAAAGTAAATGAAGTGAAATCGCTGTAACTTGAGGTCCACGTCTGCACTCTGCGGGGTGGTCACCCACTTCCCAGCCTGTCACTTCCCCAGCTGTTGCTGGCAGCGTTTGCTGCTATATGTCTGTGTACATCTGTCCTTTCCCTCCTCTTGGGAGGATCTCTCAAATCTGCTGCTTTTGTTGTCATTACACTTTCAGACAAACCTTCTGGAATAAAATGAAAAATGCGAAGTGCCAAATGAGATGGTACTAGCTTAATGAATTTCCAGGCCTCTAAAACCTGTGGGCATAGGGGGCTGGTGATGGTAGCACAGGGGAGGCTTGTTGGAGACGGGAGGGCCAAAGAAAGAACCTTAAGAGGAAGTATACCCATAGAATAGAAATTAATTCCAAGACTGGCTCTGTGACACAAAGAAACTTAAAATTAATTGAGTGGACCAGATGGTTTTGCCCATTCGAAGCAAATGGAGTGGATTACAAAGTAAATCTTATTTGTTGTGCTAAGATGACTATTAATAGCAAAATAATAAAATGAAGTCTGTGTTTTAAAAGAGAATCAACCATTTTCAGAATAAAGGTCACACAGATGTGATTTTCTTTGTGGTAAGTTGACGGTCGTGGTTTCTGAGTGATCAGTCATTGAATATATTGAGCCATAGCTGAGCTACAGTGCATGATGAGATGTGTGAGCAGAGAAAATCACAAGCATTATTGAAATTATATTTAACCTATATGAGACACCAAGTGCAAGTTCAAGTCTCCTTCTTACCGACTGGTTATAAATTGGGAATTCCGAAACCCCATGCTCCTAGGTTTGATAATTTGCCAGGATAGCTCATGAAACTTAGGGAAACATTTGCTTACATGAACTTGGTTTTTGTGACGGTTACAACTCAGCAACACCCAAATGGGAGAGGTAGACAGGGCAAGGTAAGGGGAAAGTGTATGGGACTTTCATGCCCTCTCCAAGAACGCCCCATCTGAGCTCCTCCATGTGTTCACCAACCAGGGAGCTTTCCTAACACCATGTTTTGTTTTCATTGTTTTCGATGGTGGCTTCATTAGCTAGTCATGTTTGACTGAATCACTGGCCCTTTAGTGATTATTTCCTTGGGGTTAGTGATGTGTCAGAGGCATGAAAGTTCCAACCCAAAGATCAAATGGCTCATTCCGCTGACAACCAGTTCCCCTGACGACCAGTTCCCTATGTTTAGAGGTTTTCCAAAAGTCAACTCGGGAGGCCAGCAGGTGCAATAATGGTTACATCGCTGGATTCCTACATGGCTGACTGCGGTTTGAATACCACACCCAGCGACTTGAAACTCACTCTATGTGCATGCACATGCCCAAAATTCTGAGAGGAGAATGGAGGAGAAGGGACTGTGGCATGGCCATCCACCCTGGGGGAGGGGGAGATGATTTCTCACATTCAGTCTCTTTTTCTCTCTGGTGAGTGTATGTGCCCTATAGCAAGAATCTGTCTCTCTAAAAAAGGAGAGAGAGAGAGAGAAAGAGGGAGAAAGAGAGAGAGAGAGCGAGCAAGCAAGTGTGGTTGAAAGGTGGTTGTTATGAATAGCCAAAGGTTCTCTTTTCGCCTTTCTAGCTCTGGAGCTATTTCATGAACTGGGGATAAAAGAAGGTGTCATTATAGATGATGCTCGTAGCATTCTTCCCACTTGAGATATTCCAAGAATTTTAAGAGTCTAGCCAAGAACTAGGGACAAAGATCAAATGTATATTTTGTATCACAATACCATTCTAGGCAAAACCCTAAATTTGTATATATCAAGGCTTGGAAGGGTGGAAGAGTTCTTTCTGATTGGTCAAGATTGTTTAAGGGAGCCACTCATGGAAGAGACATTATCCACTCTTTGGGGATAATTGTGACCTGGTATCTGTGGCTCATCCAAGAAAGGACAGTGTCCAGTGAGGTGGCAATGCATGACAAAGGGGAAGTGTCCAGTGAGGTGACAATGAATGACAAAGGGGTGTTCAGTAACTGGAAAGCTACAAAACCAGGCATAGAGCAGTGGTTGTCCAGGTCAGGTCTACCCTGAGGTACCCCAAGAGCTGCCTGGGGTCCTGCCAGTAGAGCTCTTGGGCCCTCTGGAAAGTCATAGCATGTTTTTGCATAGAAAGACAGGAAAATATGCCACGACTTTCCTGATGACCTAATATTTGGGATGTGCTCAGGCCTTTCTGGGCAAGGATAACCCTGAAAAGAACTGGAAAGGTGGCATGTATAGGAATGAGCCTCGTGGCTGTGACATTCATGGGAAACGTGGCTTTCTCTACAGAAGAACTGGGAGAACCAGTCCCATGATGAAGGGGTCGGTGCTAGCATTTGCTTCATACTGGCCAGGGCAAGTTCACTCTTGAGATGCTTTATTCTAATAGTTCAACAGTGCCTATTAATAGCTATAGTATTGGGGCTGGACAGTGGCGTGGTGGTTAAAGTGGTGAACTGCCCACGTGGCTGACCAAGGTTTGAATCCTGGACCTGCAACTTGCTTTTTCACTTTCTCTGTCTCTGGTCAAATAAAAAAAAATAATAATAAAATATTTTTAAAAAAAGATAGCTACAGCATGACCATGGTGGTTTTGCTCCCTCAAGTTTATATTTCTATGAAATCCTGCAGAGGTGTACGTTTTTGAATTCTCTTTATTGTCTCTTCTGCTGAAAACAACCCTCTGTTGGCAGGAAAGCTGAAAACATTTCGGTCCATGCACATCACTGTCTCTTCACTGTCTCTTCTCTGAGAGACTTGTGAATTAGAGGGATTCTCGCTTTAACATCCCTCGAGTGCACATCCACCTCTGTATCACACTACATTTCTTTTGCACGTCAGGCAGCCCCCACCACTGAGCTGTGCTCATCCCAGATCTGGACAACACTCAGTCCAGTGTGCCATAGGAAAGGTCTCGTCCACTCCGCCTTCCGGCTTCTGTTGCATGTTAGACATGACAGACCATGTTCTGGGAACTGTAACACGCCGCTTGAGAGATGAACTGTTTACAAATGATAAGCACACCGCCCTTTTGTTCCCAACCAGAAGAAGAGAGGAGCTCCCTTCTGCCCAAACGATCCATCTTGAAAGTGACACTCCTTAATTGCTTGCTCCACTTCCACCGAATACCAGCACAGACAACCGCGGAAGATGAAAGCATGCCTGGGTCCCTTGGCACAGCGTTCTCGGGAGAGGATCCGTTCCCATGTTCTGCCTGTCTCCGAAGCACAGACCAGGACGCAGTCTGGGGTCTGTCACACTGTCATTGTCTGGAACAGGAGTTGTTGTCAAATGACATCACGGTAGCCCTGTGCTCCTTCTCATGGTGAAAAAGCACATGGTCGTAACCTGTATGGGAGGCCAGAATAGACTCCGCAAGTTTTCCTCCTTTCCTCTTGTAATCTTTGAGTTGTAACATGGAACTTCCAAGTAACTTTTTTTAAAATTTTTTAATTTTTTTAGGCTTTTAGAAAACAGACTGTATAGGCTAAGTTTGGAAGAGAGGGAATCCTTTTTTCTTATACTTGATGGCCCCTAAGAAATTGCTTGTGAGAGGTATCATTTGCAAAGGACCCCAGAACAAACAGATAATGGCCGAGTTCAGCCCAGAGCCATCCGTTGACATTTGCTATTTGTATGAGATTCCATTTGTGGGATCCTTCCGTGTGGCCCTTATTTGTCCGGATGGATTACAATGAAAATTGCATTAATTTTCTACACAGTAAAGGTCAGTAATTGAAGCGTGAACCAAGAAACTATTGTATAAAACGCTGTATCCCATACTTAGGAAAGGTCACGGAAGACAGTAATATCTTGTTTTCATGGCCGAAGGTATAAATACGTGCATTACACTTTCTTTTGTTCCAGACCAATAGTCACTTACATAGAATATTTCAGCATTCACTATTAACATCAGGAAGAAGGACTCAGTCAGGGCCTGTGATGAAAGAAAAAAAAAAACAACCTGCTATCAGTAACTGCCCTTTCATGTCTCTATCATGGGTCGGTTTGTTTATAAGTAAGTTGTTCGGAACAGGAATGCAATGATCTTTATTTTTTTTTTTAAATTACTTAATTTTATTCATTGTCATTATCTATTTTAGTTTATTGAAGTTGACCAGAGAGAGCCAGAGGTAGAGAAGGAAAGTGAGAAAGGAAGCTGCCAGGTCCAGGACTCAGACCACGGTCAGCCACGTGGGAATCCAACCGCCTTACCCACCGTGCCACCTGCTTTCCGTGGAATGGTCTTTACTTTTAGGCTGATCGATGAGGTCACCATTGCCTGGCAATATTCATGAAAAGAAAGAAAATCACCCTTTTACCAGTTATGGATGAAAAACAAATATGGATATTTTCCTTTATGAGACCAAGAAATATCAAATGTATTTTGGATTAACATTGTATAATGGAAGGATATGAATACATATTGTATCTGTGTCCTATGTTCACAAATTAGGGTGTCATCATCAAATTTTAAACACATGGAAACCATCAATGTTAACATTGAAAATGATATTCTACTTCCCCAAGGACTGGTCCACTAAACAGTACATAGGTAGAGACCTCATAGAGGACAAGCACATGACAGGTGTTTTGTTTTTTGTGTTTGTTTTTGTTTTGTTTTTGAGAGGTTTTTGCTATAGGGTGCATGTGCTCACCAGAAAGACAGAGACAGAGAGACAGAAAGCAAGAAATCACTCCC